TCGTTTCTTGGTAGAGGGCTTTGGTCGGTACGACCGCGTGGCCAGAAGTCCCGACTGCATAACGGCATGTTGTGTAATACTGCAAAGGTGTCTGTCATGCTGTGATGTTATGACGTAATGCTTTTCGTTTGATGGTGATTTGCCTGCCTTTGCTTTGCCTATTGGACCTGAACCCCGGAGGGGCCGACTTTTTGTATCCCAAGCCCCTGAATAAAGTAGCTAAAAAGTCTAAAAAGTCAAAGTCCTTCCTTCCTTCTGTGTTATGAAACATAGCCACTCTTGTTAGAAATTACCCATGGGTTAGTTTCTCAAGGTAAAAGTAGTACAGTGATCAGAACTGCTCGAGTCAAGGGAAGTACCGGAGACAACTTCACCCCTATCAAAAGGTTTTTTGCAGAAACAGACTGTTTTTCATGAAATGGTCACTGGGAAAGTTTCTCAGGGCTGAGCTGGAATTGCTGCTGGGAGCAAAGACCCACTCCAGAGAAAGGGAAAAACCAGTATAGCGGTTAGGATATGGGTAAGACTCCAGTTGAAGTTCAGGCAGGGTAGAGGGGCCCGTCCCTGAGTCTCCCACACCCTTGGTCAAGAGTCTCAGCACCGAGCTCAGTGCTATGGTCTTTCATCTGGCAGGGGAGATAGCAGGATCACCACCATGGTGGAGGTAGCTATTGGGATGTGAGCTAATCTGCTGGAGTTATATATGCAATTAAAAAAAAAAACATACAGACTAGGCAAAATAGAGTCAAAGGATATTGTATCATTAGCCCTGTAGTCATCATATTAAATGTGCATCTCGTATTCACATTCACAAAACAAAATCTAGCCTTCTTGATTGTCTTGACAGTGTCTGCAGTTCTTCACTGTCAGTCATTTCTACATCAGAGTTAATATGACCACACCTGAGCTAAGGTTTTTAGCTAGAGCTAAAAACTGTCTGCAGGGCTGGGAAATAGAAGAGAGGCATTACCAGGAAGCCACAACAGACAGCAACACTGCAGAGGAAAGGATGGTTTGAAAGTAAAACCTCAAGAGCAATAAAAAGAAGAAAAGGTCATTGATACCCGTGAAGTGGAGAGAATAACAGGGATCAGGGAGCTGAAAATGCATCATGAAGTCAATTGAGTCCCTCAGCGCTGACTGACTAGAAATGCCTTTTCCCCTCCCAGACAAATGGTTTTAAACTTTGGGAGGTGCAGGACTCAAAGGAGGGGAGGGGGGCCATTGCACCCTGTACCCCCACCCCTGGATCCACCCTTGGATGCTGAATTTTGTGTTTCTTTGGAAATGGGATTCTTGCTTTCTGCTCAGCTCCAACCAATAATATAAAGGGGATCTGGCCTCTCGCCCTGCAAGAGTCAACCACATGAAAAAGCACGGGTCGTTTAGAGGATGTTCTGGTATAAGGAGCCAGGGTCCAGTCCCTCTCGAGCAAAGTTTTTACTCCCTTTTCACAGCTGGATGCTTAGGAGCTACACTATGAAAGCAATTAAGCTACTTGGAAATGTGACCATATCACTGTCGCATCCTCTCCACCTGCACCCATGTGTCATGCCCACCTGCTGAGTCTCGTTAGCCAAGATGGGGAGCTCTTTAGGTAAGGGACTGTGTCTCTTCCCCGTGCATGGCTTAGCTCTGAACCACTCTAGGTTCTCGTTATTTGAATAATAATATCTTATTTTCTTACAGATGGGGGGGGGGAGACAAAGTTCCTGTTCCTCAGGATGGCAAATACATCCACACGGCTAATGTTTTTTTGCAGAAGGCAAGAGCACTACAGAGTCCCTGGTGCTCCAGTGGTCCCTGATGGCAAGTCACAAGCATCGCACGAGAGGTGATTCTTCGTAGCCATTGTGATTCCTGAAATGTAATGCAGAAATAACAAGTGCACGGGTCATGCAAGTATAACCCTCCAACCTACAAGGCAGGGCAGGGTGGCCCCTTACAGACCCATTGAGAGAATCACGAGCTTCCCCAGACTGCAGCCCCCCCCCCCCCCCCCCCCCCCCCCCGCG